GGGCATTGGGGGTGGTTAGGGGGTGTTGGGGGGCCGTATGGGGTTATTTGGGGCCACTATGGAGGTGTTGATGGTGTTATTAGGGGTTCTGGACCTTTTTTTTTGTGGGGTGCCGACGACCCCCGACTGGTAGGTGCTGAGCCGCCGATCGGTCGACGGGTCGGCAGCCGACCAGTCAAGGGCCGCCGACCGTAGGGGGGTGCAACCCTGGGGTCATTATAACAAACTTCCCACACCTTTGAGGCCTGACCTGTCACCAGTCCATAGAGTGGACACCAAATAAACCAACAGCAAACTGAACCATCGCAGTGGGGAGGCGTATGGGGGTATTGGGGGGGGGTAATGAGGGCATCGGGGGCGGTTTGGGGGTGTTGGGGGGGCGTATGGGGGTATTTGGTGCCGCAATGGAGGTGTTGATGGTGTTATTAGGGGTTCTGGACCCTTTTTTTTTGTGGGATGCCGACGACCCCCGACTGGTAGGGGCTGAGCCACCGATCGGTCGGCGGGTCGGCAGCCAAAAGTCAAGGGCCGCCGACTGTCGGGGGGTGCAACCCTGGGGTCGTTATAACAAACGCCCCACACCTTTTAGGCCAGACCTGTCACCAGTCCATAGAGTGGACACCAAATAAACCAACAGCAAACTGAACCATCACAGTGGGGAGCATATGGGCCAGGGAATGAACGAAGCTATGGCAGTTCTCTGGCCAAACCCACCACTACCTATGAACCTATGAACTTATGAACCTATGAACCTATGTTGTTGTGCCTCTTTTGCCGGACTTTGAACTTCCTCGGACAGTGATGGCTTGTGGTGACCACAAAAGAAACAGTGGCCAGCAACCTGAACCGTTGCAATGGGGACCAGATGGACCGCGTCAGGGACTCCAGCTCCTCTCTTCTTTTTTCCTATCCACCTGTTGTCGGCCCGTGGCATCGGGATGAGCTGCTGCGGTCTGCGGAAACCGGTCGAGGGGGTGTGTGGTTTGAGAATTTTGAGGGTCTGTTTCACTTCTCCATGTAATATGTTGCTTGTTGTGTTGCATGATTATTGTGTAGGTCGCGTGTACAGACTGCGGCGTCCTCATGCCAATCACCTCGCAGCTCTTGCAGCACAGGGTTCGACATATAAAGAGTCCGATCCGACTGCAGGTTGGGGATACCCGCTCCTCCAGGACGTAGGAGCTGAAGAACCGCATGTTGAGGAAGATGCCAAGGCCTCTAGCCCAGGCCGAAATGGTGGCGGCACTTCTGAGAAGAAATTGCTGGATTCAGTGGGAACGTGTGCAGAGTTTCGGGCGGCTATGGCTTCTGAAGTAGGTGCTGCTGTGATCATCACGGAAACCGGATTGAAAACTCTTCCTGCAAGCACTAGCAAGGCAAGCGCTGTGGCACAGGCAGCCTCCAATGCCAAAGCAATGGTATGTGCAGTATCTTTTTTTTTTTTTTTTTTTTTTTTTTTTTTGGGACCATTTCTCGATTTATACGTGTCATCCTTGTACAGGGGCCATGCTTATCTGCTCGTTATCGTTCCAATTTTAACGGATGTCTCGGGGGATGCAATATGTTCTTTTTCTCCTCGTAAGCCTTACCTTCTGTTGATAATGCTGTCGACTTTTTAAGTAAGTTCTCTCTGTCAGTTACCGACCTCGCTAGAGACAAAAACCTGGCGCGGCAAGTTTAATGTTATTTTCAAGGGAACCTAACCACCTGGCTCCTGTAAGAACTTGCGTCGACTTTCGGCATGTCAGAATGAATGTGGGTATCTGGTTGGATGGGTGAATTTTCTGTGCCAGGATGTGCAGATGTCTGATTACATTCGTACATGGCTTGGCCCCTATTTTCCACACCGAGCGTCGACGTATTTTCCTTCCTTCTGTATACATATTGCTTTTTTGCGCTTCACACTGACATTCAGAATTTGACTGATAAGGATCAAAGAACAAGAGAAATGACTAAATTAGAGAATCAATTGGATGCCCGTCACAGATGGGGCGGAGCCTACGAAAGAGAAAAAGAAAACACATCGCCAACATCAGATGCAGTTGTTCGGTCCTTGCCTTGAGCAGGCACCACCATATGGGTGCGGTCTAACATGCGGGTCTTCCTTTCATCTAGACAGTGCTCTTATGTATTTGTGTTTGACCGTGTGGGGGGGTATCCTACGTGCTTTGTACTCCAACATGCGCGAACATGTGCGTCATGTGGGTCTTCCTTCCGTCCGCGCAGGGGTGCATCTCGAATAAGACTTTGGCCTTCGATTGGACAGAGGCATGCTGAATGTGCGTGGCGGCTGCCATGTGCTTCTATGCCCGGGTTGGAATTTCCATCGGGGTTAGGAAATGGCCCCCAAAAAACCGGAACGGGTCCACTGGAGCTGCACCTAGATTCCAACCTCCTGCATTTCAACTGGGGTAGCCGGCGGAAATAAAAAGGGGCCGCCATGGGCTTGTATGTGGCTGGATTCAAACTGCGGTGTGTTTCCGGAGTCCATGAGTCTAAGAAAGCGACAAAAACAAAAAAAACACAAAACGGCACCAGCCCTGCAATGACAAAAAAAGAGACAAACGAAACAGCACCACCGCAGGGTCCTATGTACTTTTATTGAGTGTGCTCCACAGGGCTTCTACGTACTTGTATTCGAGTGTGCTCCGCAGGGCACCTATGTACCCGTATTCGAGTGTGCTCCGCAGCGCTTTTACGTACTTGTATTCGAGTGTGCTCCGCAGGGCTCGTACGTACCCGTATTCGAGTGTGCTCCGCAGCGCTCCTACGTACCCGTATTCGAGTGTGCTCCGCAGGGCTCCTCCTACGTACCCGTATTCGAGTGTGCTCCGCAGCGCTCCTACGTACCCGTATTCGAGTGTGTTCCGCAGCGCTCCTGTGTACCCGTATTCGAGTGTGCTCTACCGCACAAGCCGCAACAGAAGTGAATGCCCGGAAACGTCTAGGATTCGAACTTTGGTCTTGAGGCGATAAACGACGTAAAAGAAAAACGGCCAGACTCGAACAGGTGAGCGGTTCCACCTTGGACTGCACACCCCCCAACGTGGTTTTGGCCGGTCCTGTGCCGAGAGGACCACTGTTTTCTTTAGAAGTAGTGTTGTATTATTTATAGTTATAGATATAGATGAATACAGGGATAGAGAGACAACACAGAGAGCAGTAGAAGAGATTAAACAGTGTATGAATCCCCTATCTCGCCAGAGTCATCGCCCTTCCTCCTCCTGCACTGCTACAAACTCAGTGGCAGATCCCACTGAGCATGACATCCGATGCATGCCGTGCAAAGTTGATTCTTTCCATCTCATTGTGACCGTCAGGTTCCACACAAGGACCTAGACATAGTCCAGTGGCGCCCGCCCTCAATCTATTGTCAGAGCGGCTGAAGTGCTTGGCATTGCAAAGCACTTTCTTGGCTGTTGTGGCGCTCTAGCTGTGTGACCACGGTAGCAAGTCGCCACACTTGTCATAGCCGCAAAAGTTGTGTTGAAGGGTGTCTGTTTGAGAAACCCCACTCTTGTCGGTTTCACTGCCGTCATTTTTGATAGCATCGATGAAATGTGTCGTGGGACCAGCTCACTGTGCTGCATTATGCATCTGCCTGGCATGGCTGTCCCACGTTCTATCTGTCTGACGACAGTAGCAAGTCGCCATACTTATCATAGTCGCAAAAGTTGTGTTGAAGGGTGTCTGTTCAAGAACCCCGCTCTTGTCGGTTTTCACTGCCGTCAGTCTTCATAGAATCGATGAAATGTGTCGTGGGACCAGCTCACTGTGCTGCATCACGCACCTGCCTGGCATGCAGAATGGCAAGGGTAGCCTTTTTCGTAGTAGAACTTCACTTGTTTCCTTGTGTGTTTGTTGGCGATTGTCAGGTTCCAATTTGATTACCCCGAGCTCCTGTTCTCATGTGTTGTGGGGATTGTGCATGTCGGTTATGCCGGAGAGTGCATGCTCATCTTTGCCTGTTCCTTCTTCCCTGTTTGATGGGCGTCAGCCTATCGGTGTGATATTTCACCTCCCACTTTGGTGATCTCCCTCTCTCTCTCTCTCTCTCTCTGTGCTTCCCTGTTTGATGGGCGTCAGCCTATCGGTGTGATATTTCACCTCCCACTTTGGTGATCTCCCTCTCTCTCTCTCTCTCTCTCTNACTTGAAAGTTCGAACTTTGCAGTTCAATTCAGAACGTCAGAATCTTAAGACTGGCAGCACTGTCAGTGCTCTCTCTCTCTCTCTCTCTCTCTCTGTGTTTCTCTGTTTTTTGTGCGTCACCCTCTCTGTGTGATATTTCCCCTCCCTCTTTTGTGATCTCTCTCTCTCTCTCTCTCTCTCTCTCTCTCTCTCTCTCTCTCTGTGCTTCCCTGTTTGATGGGCGTCAGCCTATCGATGTGATATTTCACCTCCCACTTTGGTGATCTCCCTCTCTCTCTCTCTCTCTCTCTCTCTCTCTCTCTCTCTCTCTCTCTCTCTCTCTCTCTCTCTCTCTCTCTGCGCTTGATATGCTTATGTGGTGGAGAATCAACAGGTCTTTGTCCGCGGTTGGGACGTTCAATTGTCGCATCTGCGACGACCTATTTGTCTCTTATGCACTCCTATGGCTGGATCTTATGCAGCAGTCTGAGAGATGCAGAAGTGGACTCGTTGACTAACGGTCACTAACAATTTCTTGACAATCTGTGTTCTGCTGTTTGTGAATGACGACGCTGTGGATAACGTAAACCTAAAAGATGTACCGCGACAGGGCTGCGGAACGAAGAAAGCTACATGGGTTGGGCACTGGACCAGGGCAACGAAACCAAGTCGTGGCGGAATTGATGAAGAAGGCGGAAGCTGCAGAGGCATCATATTTGGAAAAGAAGGCAGAATCCATGGAGAAAAAGAAACGGACGTCCATGGAAAGGATTGCTGCTGGGGCGATGCCCACCCCTACGATCGGAAATGATGTCGGATGGGTACGTATAAAGTCTGAAGAGAGAGTGTGTTTGGGAATATTCGCTCCCTATGCTTCAACTTGCATTGTAGTAGGCTCTGTGCCGAGTGTCTGTCATCTGCGTTTCGTTTGGAAACACCCGTGCCTGCCCCTGAAGTGCACACAAACTTGCTGTGATCCTGAAGTGCACACAAACTTGCTGTGATGAAATATTACTTGGTTCATTGCCACAGTAGTGACTGGCTTGCTTTGCTATTGTTCTGATGAATGCACACCGATTTTCGTCTTAAATTCTCTTAAAAGGTAGTGCTTGTTCCTGAGGTCAACGCATCCAGGAAGGAACCATGAATGCGTACACCATCGCTATGATATGGGAGTGTATGAAGGTTAGAAAACCCATGTGGAGTGAGAAATAAGACTGCTGTCTTCCCTTGTTGAACATAACATGTGTTGTAAACGGATATGACGCAGAGGTTGGTTTCTACTCGGATAGAACACGTAGGCGTTCTATTCGAACAGCTGGCATGATCGAATACACGACACATGTGGGTTCTATTTGAATCATCGTTTTTGTTTTCCCGAAAACTCGAAGACAATGTGTATGCGTTATGTTCGGGGAAAAGACGGTCGTGCCTGTGTGACTCGATCAGGCAAGGAAGTTTTGCCGACAAGGGGCTCTGTCGATCTGACGCTGCCGGCCCATCGTTTTGTGCAGGCGAGGTATCGGGACAGAGCGGCTGAGCGGAGGAAACTCTATGGTGGATTTGGGACGGGTCCAGGCCAGCGCGCGCCGGCTGGTGAAGAGGAGGATAAGACCGATCCCGCACAAGTGGACGATCCGATGGCCGGTGGAGCAACACCAGGTGGTCCTGGAAAACCTGGTATTCTTCCGCTTGGAAGCGGCAATCGGGGTAAACAGATGCTGAAGGGGATGGGCTGGAGAGAGGTACGCCCCTGAATGAACAGAAGTGTAGCAATGTTTGTGAAAAAAATGCGCCCGTCTCGGAGTTTCCTCCCCCGAAAAGACTTCTGCTAAGTAGGAGTAGAGATGAATTCCAGTGCTTTGGCACGTGCTTTCCTTAACAGATTTCCCTCCCCTTTCAAGGGGAATGGGGGTCGTCGTTGCCGGGAAGTATCGCCTCGCCTGTCATATCAAAGCAGTCGTGGACTAAAACTCCTCAGTAACGTGGTTGTGCGTTTTGAATCGACTGGTTTCCACTCGTGTCCATCTTCAAATGCATTTTCTTTCTTTCTTTCTTTCTTTATTTATTTATTTCTTTCTTTTTTCTTTTCTTCTTTTTTGTGCTGAAATAAATGTACCGGATACATTTAAGAAAAATAAAAAGTAGTGAATGCGTTTTGTTCTAATGTCGTCTGTGCCAGCTTACAAGATGAAGGAAAGTGTTAATTGATTTTTTTTTTTGTTTTTTTTTTTAAGGAAAATGTTGGCAAACGCTGCAACGATGTTGCAGTGTGCAAGGGAGCAGTTTCGGCTAAAGCTGCCTCTCTCTCTCTCTCTCTCTCTCTCTCTCTCTCTGTCTCTCTCTCTCTCTCTCTCTCTCTCTCTCTCTCTCTCGCTCGCTCGCTCACTCTCTTGTTTGTGGGGACGTTTCCACTAACACACTGTTTAGCTGTTTCTGATCAGTTGGCACAAAGCTTATGGGATTGTTTGAAGCAAACCTGGGTTCTTCTTCTTCTTTTCTTGATTTTGCTTGTTCTCCAGCATTTCTTCTTCTTCTTCTTCTGCTTCTTCTTCTTTTATTTTTTATTTTGCTTGTTCTCCAGCAGATGTACATGTGTTTTTGTGAACGTGATTGGTCGTGTGGCCCTCTTTTTCAATTTTGCAGGGTTTCTTACACCACTCCTTTTTTTTTTTCTTCTTTCCCTTTTTTTCAAGTCCTTTTTATCAATAAAGCGGAAAACCAGGTCGAAAATCCCTTTATATTGGATACATACTCGATGCTTCCCTTCCTTATTGTCAAGGACTCCATCTTCAGACAAAAGCATTTTGCTTCCAATAAGTTCAGATTCGGGAAGGATGCACTACTGCTCCGTGCATCTGTGAAGGGGATTTTGGTTGTTTGGCCATCTGTTGCATTTTTGCTGGGTCTCTGACACCAATTGTTGTTTTCTTTTATGTACACTGTTGGCGCTAATTGCTAATTGCGTGCGCACTGCGCAGTGTATAGCCATGGCTGCACCCTTGGAAAAGGGCCGCTATCCGGCGGGTACGGCCGGTGGTATATGTGTTAACCGGGCCGGACGTCCGGGACCCCGCTGACCGTCCGGGGATTGTCCAGTCGGACAACCGGTCGGACGTCCTCCCGGGCCAGTCTGTCCGAGCCTGAATGGCCAAAAAGAAAAGGAAAAAAACTAGGTTATGCAGAAGAAACTGAACAACTTTTGCCTTGGGGTCGCATCGAAATTCGTTATCAAATTTGAAATAAAAAATAAAATTAAAGACACAGCTCTTTTTTTCTTCTTTTTCTGGTGCTTTAAACTGCTGAAAATGGGAGTTGTCGGGGCCCGGACGTCCGGGACACCCCCTCCCCCC